GCATGCACTAGAAATTTGTATCAATTCATAATGCTGGAAAGACTCTAAGGTGACCAGGGCCATTTTCCACGTACCCTGAGACGCAACAAGCTCTGCTGTCTCAGGGTGGTTACATAATAGGCTTCTTTCGGCCCAGACTACTCTTTCAATGTTATTCACATGAATAAATCTATCAGATCTATGAAATCTCAGGTTAAACATCAATTCTTCAGGACATTTCCTTAATCCACCATTTTTCTTTCTCACAGCAATTATTTATTCCTTTATAACATTCATTATAATTTGTATGTGCATGTTCCCATGAAGTCAGACACTGGCTTTATTTATTTGATACTGAATAAACAGTTGTATAAATTTATGCTGAATGAATGGTATCAGAGAAGTAAAAAATCCCATAATGTTTCATCTTGAAGTTGAGAGTGAAGTGAAAGTCATGAAATGCATAACCAAGTAGGTATTGTTGGGAGTTTATATAAGTGCAAAAGTTTCTCATTTGTATAAAGGAGATGATGTGAGATAGAAGAATATGATCACTCACCTGTTTTGAAATGTTCTTATCTCCAGTCTAAAAAGAAAAAAAGTCATGTGTTACAATATGGCAAGTAGGTGTCCTCTGAACCAGTGGGATGCTTATTCCCTTAGCCCCTGTATTTTTCTGCACTCACAGCTTCAAAATAAAATCTCCAGGAAAAGGCACCTGTTTAAAAATGCCTTGGAAATCCTGGTGCATCTGAAGTTCCAAGACAAACATCAATTACTCACCAACATATAATCCAGATTTTCTCCAGTCTGAAATAAAACAAAGTAATTAGATTCTCTCACTCATAGGACATTCACCTCAGACTATGAAATTGCTGCAACCACATGAAATCAGAAGGTTTATGATAAAGCTATATTTCTGTGTTCATCATATCAATGTCAATTTTGGGCTGTTTGTCTTTTTTTATATCTCCTGTTCTATTTCCTCAATTTTCCACACCCTCCAACACATCTGTGATAAAATATTAGAGTCTAGTTCTTTTGCCAGAAAAAGATAGACTATAAATTGTGAGAGTGTATTATAAATCCTGAAATTTCATTTGCTGACTCACAGGTCTCCAAATGTCAAATTGTACGCTCCCCTGTTCTCACCAGATATGCTCTCCATCCAACAGGAAAAGCTCCAGAACTAGCTAATTTCCCGATCAGCCTAACCAACTGATCCCCACCTAGTTGTCAGCCTAACAGAGGGCTTCACCTCACTGTCAGCTGGCAAAATTATTCAAACAGGCCAATCATGTACTTCTACAGAAAACAGGACCAACACATCCTCTTGTTGCCACAAACCTACTTCCCATAGCCCCTGTTGGTTCGCTCTGCTCCCAAGTGCAACCCCCATGTGGTCCCGCATGGTGAGTGGTGCCCTCCCCAGGATGTGAGCGTGTGTGGTTAATAAACTGTCTCATCTGTCCAGTGTCGGGTGTCATGTGTCTGACCATGTTATTCTATTTAGGGTGGGGAATGCCTCTTCACCGACAAAATCAATAGGAGGTGGTCAGAACTGAGGAGTAGATGAGATCGTTGGCCCAAATATAACCTCACTATAACTCACCTTGATGATATAATTCCTTCCTTCTGTCTAAAAAGGAATAACAGCTTGTGAGTGTACATCATAAATTAATGCCTATTTATCAAAGAAAATGGAGAATTTATGAAGCTCTTTTTTGAATTATTCTACAAAGGAAAGGAGATAACAAAACAGATTTTCAGGAAGGAAGTTCAAGGTTTACTTTCTAGATTGTTACTAAGCCCAGATCTTAAATGCTGCTTTCATATACCTAATCAAGAAATGTACCTTAATGGAGAATTACTATGACCATTTTTAATTGTTCAGTCACAGTTGTCTGCCTTTTGCCTCATTGCTCTCCCCTACCCCACCCCACCCACACTCCCACAGTCAATCCCCTCCATTGTCCATGCACATAAATCCTCGATTCCTGTTCCTTTGTTTGCCCCTTTTCCTCCCCCCACCCCGCATTGTCCCCCCATTATCCCTGCCCTCTGGTCACTGTCAGTTTTTTCTTTATTTCCAAGTCTCTGGTTCTATTTTGCTCATTTGTTTGTTTTGTTGATTAGGTTCCACTTATGGGTGAGATTATAGGGTATTAGTCTTTCACCACCTGAATAGCCATCATTAATAAATTAACAAACAACAAGTGCTGGTGAGGTTGTGGAGAAAAGGGAACCCCAGTGCACTGTTGGTGGGAATGCAGACTGGTGCAGCCACTGTGGAAAATAGTATGGAATTTCTTCAAAAAACTAAAAATGGAATTGCCTTTTGATCTAGTGATCCCATTTCTGGGACTATACCCTAACAATCCTGAAACACCAATTCAAAAGAACCTCTGCACCCCAATATACATAGCAGCACAACTTACAATAACCAAGTACTGGAAGCAACATAAATGCCCATCAGTAAATGAGTGGATCAAAAAACTGTCATACATTTACACAATGGAATACTATGCAGCAGAAAGAAAGAAGGAACTCCTACCCTTCACAACAGCATGGATGAAACTGGAGAGTATTATGCTAAGTGAAACTACGACCATTTTTAAACTCCATGTTTATACCAGTCAGTTTTCTCTCTCCATTGGACTCTATTATGATACTTTTCTCATGGACATCCTTGGTCCCATGTCTCATTGAAGGTCTTGGGTCTCTAACTCATTCCTACATATGTCTCTGTATTCCAACAGTCATGCTAACAAGCCCATACATTACAGATGCCCCCAAGTCTCCTTCAGTTTTACCTTTGACTTTGCTTTCTTTTTCCTCCTTGGCTTCCCATACTCTCTTCCTTTCCTGTTCTTTCCAGGCCAAAAACACAACACCACCCACAAAAATCCCAAGTATGAGGAAAGTCTCAGCAAATGCTACCTTCCAAGGAGACATGCTACAGAAGAAAGGCTCTGAAACAGGGCCCCAAAACCTGATCAAAAGCATACACTAAGCAAGCCTATCCCATCCCAGGTCTCAAATATCCCCTCCTTACTCCTGTCCTGTCTCCGAAATGAGCAATGCTGACCTAGTATAAAAATGGTTTCTACCTGCTCTTGTCCTAAGAATGAGTTCCTCATGGAGCAGGACACCTCTTTCTTTGAGCTGTCTCTCACAATGACAGATGCCTCAATCTGAAAGAACCCATCATCATCTTGGTTCTACTCCTCAGAGAGAGATGGTATCTTCTCTCCCCTCACATCTTTCCATTGTACCTCAGGCCAGGGAAACCACCTCTTACCTATTCATGTCAGTCTTATTCCTTCATCTTCTGGACCCAGCATAAAAGTATGAAGGCCAGAACCCAGACCTGGGGAGGAAAGTCACTTATCTGAGATCTGGATATATTTTGTCTTGAAGTCCCTAGTGTTACACAATAACACCTATGTGGGGAGATGGACAAAGTACCACAGTGGAGGAGAAGGTTTCTTTCCTTCTTCCATGAGATTAATGGGATTAATGGGTATGTGTAGTTCAAATCCACAAGAGACTTGAAGTTAACACTGGGATTTACCCTAATACTTGTCACATCTTTTCTACCCAGACATATCTGCAATTGGTCATAGAAGAATAATAAGAGCATAGTAAAGTTTGCCAAAGTTGAATTCTTTCAGAAAAACATCAATATATCTGTATCTATATCCATATCTATATCTAATCTATCTATATCTACCTATCCAATCTCTCTCTTCCATTCACTGGAGTCTCAGGGAAGACTTTCTTATTGTACTTAAATTGAGACTTCTTATAGTCACTTCCTTAGACAATCTTTTTGTGATTGTTTTTTCCAAATTTTCTTCCTTCTTCTGAGTAGGGGTTATATAAAAGTGAAGATGGCCAGGTGAACTCTCCCCAGCACCTGTATCAAAACATCACATTACCCAACACTAGAAGAACTGACTGTCTCTTTGAGAATGACTATCTTGCCTTTTTTTTTCTATTGTTCAAATACATTTGTCTCCACCTTCCCGCCACCACTTTCCCCTGCCTCCCCCTCACCACCCTCCCTCAGTCCTTTCCCATTTTGGCTTTGTCCATAACAAATTGTTTACATGTATACATGTTCCTTGACTTACCTTGCCTTCTAAGACTATATATTATCTTGTCTTTTTAAAATTCTGTATCTCATGGTATGGATTTTCTTATGTCTGGCTTAGTCCTACTCTAATTCCTTAGTATAGAAAATATTAGGAACCTAGTTATATCATCTTATTTTTGTTGTCGTTGAAAATTTTTTTGTTGTTGAAATAATATATCTAATAATTTTTACTGTCAGATCTTGGCCTGCCTGGGAAGGACACACTTCTAGAAAATAGAAAGCGATCTGAAAGATAATCCTTAAAATTGCCTGAGGGGGCTCCTAAATCTTTTGGTGAAGGGAAATGAACATATGTGGTTGAAACTTGTTCTAAGCCAAATGAAGCAGACCAAAGCCTAGGGATCAAGTGCTAACTATCAAATAGACCTTGTACCTCCTGGAAGAATATAACCATTGAAATTCCAAGTTGAAATAAGAAGACAAAAACTACTGTTAAGACAAGGAACAGGAAGGGCTGCCCATTCCTGAGCATAGAAGTGGTTGTACTAGACAAAGGTCAATGAAATGGAAGATATGTATAAATATATAATCAACTAACTCCTTCTAAACATTGGACTTGTCTTTATATATATCATTCAGTGAACTGATATGGGAAAGGCACTGAAAAGTGCTGGGACTCTCATGAGAATGTGAAAATCTTTGACCTCTTACTGGAAGGTCACAGTACCATGACTCAGGAGAATTTGTCACTCTTTCCTTCAAAACCTAATGGATTGGCTTCTTCCTATTAAAGGTACACAAAAAGGAAATGGATAAAATAAACCTATAGATATTACCAGATAGAATAAAATGAGAAGTATTAACTTAAGAGGGTTAATATAGAAGAAAAACATTATAATTTTTTTCTTTTTTCTTTTTTCCTTAGGGGAAAGCACGAACACAGCCCCCCACTACCACAAATTCTGCAGTCAAGTTTCCCACATTTGGGGAAATCGCAGGGGTCAGCACAATCAGAGGGCAATGGATAAGCCTCATCCTGGGAAAACCACCTTTGTGATCATGGTGTCTCCCCTCCAGGTAAGTATGAAAAACATTCCGCATTTTAAAACAACATGCTTTTCTTGGCAGAGAATATAAAGCTTTAGAAATAGAAACACTATGTTATTATCAAGGAAGTAGATAGATAAATCATTATAACCATATAGGGAATTTAGAATTTATCTTGATTCTATGAAAAGTTTATGGGAAATAATGCATTTGTTTTCTACTTTATTCACTGTTATAGAAATAAGTGAATAAACCTTAGGAAAAAATATTTTAAGGATTTCATGAACATTTATGCCAAAAAATTCTAAGGTTTAAAGATGTAACTGTGAAAAGCAAAACAATAAAAGATAGAAATGAATTACAACTACATGCAATTAACTACATAGAAAAATAATAGTTAGAAAAAGAAAGCCAGACATGAAAGAGTTTGTGTATGTGAAAGTCCAAAATAAGGCAAAATAATCTATAAAACTAGAAATCAAAGTAGTGATACCCTTAAGAAAATGATGACTAGATGGGAAAAAAACAGATTTTCCAACATTCGAATTAGTTCTGTTTCCTGTTTTGGGTGCTGGTTTCACAGGTGTATTTGCTTTGTGAGAATCCATTGAGTGGGACATTTAAAGTCTGGACTAAATTTGCTATGCATGTTAAATTACAACATATTTTACCGAAAGGAGGTAAAATATTTTTGCAATGTTAATAAGAGTACATCTAAGAGGATCATAAAAATAAGAAGACATAAAAGATAATGTTGACAGTTCTGAGAACATGCTTTTAAACTTTTTTAAATGAAATTTATCATAAAATTATAAGAAAAAACAAACTAGGGGGGAAAAGCAACATTAACAAGTAAAAGAACAATTAGAACTTGATCAAAATTTTTTAAATAAAAAAGCCCTCCCCAAAAAAACCAGTAAATTAAGGGACATGAAGAAAAAATTGAAGGTAAAAATAATACAAACAGGTAAAAAAATACATAAAAACTATCCACCTTATTTGTTATAAGGGTAATGAAAATTTTTTGTGAGATACCATTTTTTACCTATCAAACTGGTAAAAATAAAAACAGAAGAAATCTAATATCCAGTGTCATCAAACATGTGAAGAAATGTTTATTCTCATTAATTGTTGTTAGGATTGTAAACTAAAACAATTATTAGACTTTCCACACAGTTAAGAAATTTTATGATTATCTTGAAACTGGAATTGTTAAGTTATAGGGTATGAACTTAATCATTTGATGAATTTATCTAGTGAAAAACAACTTATTGCATAGAGACTTATGAGAAAATATGTGTATTTTATTATTTTTGTAATAAGAAAAATGGAAAAACAGTCTACATTCATTAAAAAGTAAATATTCACAAGTCAAGGAACAGGTATAAAGGATCCATGGACAAAGACAAAGGTGGGGAAGATTGAATGTAGTGGTGGGTAGGGAAGGAAGAATAATGAGGGAAAAATGGGGACAACTGTAACTGGAGAATTAAAAAAAAATTTTAAAGTAAACATTCACATAAATTATGAATTTCTATATCATAAAAACATTTGCAATCATTAAAGAACACAATCTTTTTTAATTGGTCTGTTATATATTGTTAAGGATGAAAAAGCAGTTATAGAAACACATGAGATATTTTAAATAAGAGATCAGTATGTATATATGGAGCAGAAAACTACTTGTTATTAATTCTGTTTTGATACCTGTTAAGTTTTTCTCTGTTTGTCCCTATCTTGATTTCATTGATAATATTTCAGCTTCAGGGATATTTGTTCAGCTTAAAGTAGGAACTACATGAAGACCCTTTTTTCTCTATTGTCGAGTGCTTAAGTTAGTGACAGAAATTGTATAATACGTGTAGAAAAAAGAACACTAATGAAAGAGTGTCTCTAAGGAGAACAGAAAGAAGCTTTGATAGAGCAAAGGGGAGATTTATTAAAAGACAGAGATCTTCATACTCGTGTGCCTCCCGAAGAACTGCATCAGAAGTCTCTATGATATTTGTGACTAATCGTCCCAGAGTCAGCATGAAGAGATGTGACAAACCCTGGGATAGTGAGCATACTGGCAGTAACCAATGAGGGGCCAGGACTAGAGGAGATTTACTGAATCCTGAATAAAATGGGCTGCATTAGAATCAAAGACATTTTCACAATTATTAGTCAAGAAAAAAGAGGAGCAGGAAGCTCCAGTAAAAACTAAGACATAATTTTATGCCAGCTTGATTGGCCGAAGGCTCAAAGACCGACTTAATTTTCTTTTTAGAAGCTAACATTTTAACTTAATGTTTAAGAAGCTAACATAAACATTTTTGAAGATTGGTTTATGAACAGACATCAAGACCTGCTACATAAATACATTACATAAGATATGTAAACATTATAATTATATAACTGTACATTTTATGACATATAATTATATTTATTATTTTATTATTGTATTACCACAGAATTTTAATTATTTTATTATTATATTATTACAGAATTATTATTTTGTTACTATATTATAGAATTATTAATAATTTTAATTATACATAAATGTAATTACATATTTAAATATATAAAGAGATAACTGGAAGAGCATCGAATAATCTGGTGTTAATAGTTAATTTGGAAGAGAAAAAGGGAGGATTATCAATTTATATTTTATAACTTTCTGAATTGAGTTTGATATAATAAGCTTATAGTATTATTGAATGAAACAGCATCAGTGAAGATAAAACTCACGATGGTCAATTCAGTGTCCTGTGGACCAGCTTTCAGTCCACCTTAATCTTTCCCACTGGCTCTACTCTTCAGGGCCTTTTTATTTTCCCCAAATCACTAAATTAATGGTTTTTTCTACTTCTGTTTCACTTAGTTATTGAATGTTTATTGTTTTCTGACCTTAATTCTCTTATGATAACTTTTTCCCTGCATTCCAGTCCACCCCATCACAACCCTCGTAGTTACTTCCTCTGAAGAATGCCTTCAAGACCTGACCACTAGCAGGCCCAGGTGAGCCTCTGTCCATCATGGGAGCCAACTGGGATTCTTCTCTCTCAGAATAATACTGGTACATTTTGGTAATGATGGCACTTTCTTTCCAAATATGCAGCAGAGACATAGAAGGAAATAAATGATCTATATTTTTGGTAGATATTTATGGAAGTGGTTTAATTTTAAAGTACCATTCAACATATGTATAAGTAGATAAGATTTAGGGTCAACTGCAATGTCTAGGGTGTGGACCAGTTTGAAGTATACTTGCCTTTTTGTCTCTGTCCTGTTCACCACCCTTCCCCCCAAATCAAATGCAGAACACTTGCATTTCTCTCAGAGTGATCTGTGTTCTCAGATGATTACTCACCTATCACCTCTGGATCCAAAATTGTTTCTTCAAAATCACTTCCTTTTAAAAAAAAACCATGTGTACATTCCATTGTCTGAGACCCAGAGAGTACAGATTCTCACAGCTACTCTTCCCTCAGTGACACAATCTTTCACCAATTCTGCTGTCCCTCTGAGATCTACCAGCTGCTGTTCCACCCGCTCCGCTCCATCCTGATACACATACACAGCATCTGGGAGCTCAGAAAGGAACCACTGCTGCTCCATGTCCTCCACACTCATGGCTGGGGCCACATGGCAGGGCAGCACAGTGTCTGCACCCAGCATGGCCACAATGGGCTCCGTGGACTGATGACCGCTAGTAAGTCTATGGAACGGAGCCACCATTGTAAGAATTTCAGAACACCTGCCCATGTGTTTTGGAGCACAGCATCATTACTGGCCCAGTGGAGACCCACAGACATCCTCTCACTCAAGCCGCCATGGTTTGTTACACACATTCAGGCTGAAGATGGTGGAAAACAAGACACAGAGGATGTCTATGCTTCTAGATCTTACAACTGACATGGTAATCTCATATTAAACAAATGATTTTTTTCAACTGCAAAAGTGGTAAATTCTATGAAGGAGAAGGGAAGAGTGCTGGGAAATCATGAAACTAGGACTTTTTAATCAGGTATTGGGGATCAGAAAATGTATTCCTCATGAGGCTGAGACCTGAATGAATTAAAAAGCATTAGTGATGTAGTTCTACCTGATCCTTCTCTGGGAAATAATTGTATAATGACTTATTTGCCATTGTGTATTGGAAAGTAAATCATTATATTAAAATGAAGGATTTAGAATTAATCCAGGTATATATGAGAAGTGATTGAATCCTTCTATTCAGAGAACAAGAGAACCCAGGTATAGGATATATAAATATTCTCACCTGAGCCCCACATGGACACTAGGAGAACCAGGATGGAGAAGAGGTCTCTTGGCAGAGAGAAGTCCTGGGAACCCACCAGCTTTTCCAGAGCAGAGAGCAATATGATGCAGAGGGAGGTCCTGAAAATAGCTGGATGAAAGACAAAAAAGGGACTCACAGGTAAAAAGGTCATAATTAATGTGGTTCACAGAAATGGCCTCCTGGAGCTCTCAGGCAACTGTAGTGTCTCTCAGGGACTATCAGGGAAGCCTTTGACAATCACAAAAAAGGCCTTTTGTTTTCCATCTCCAAGGAAACACTCTGTTCCATCTCAACAGCCATGTTCTGTAGTAATCTGTCCACCATCTCTCTAAACTTTTATTCAAGAAGCACATTTTATCCATCGGACAGAGAGACAGACAGAAAGTGGAGAGCAGTCACTAAGAGAGAGATGGCATCAGCACAAACATTACTCTGGCCTCAACAAATTCTCTCCTCACACATTCCAATGTCATGAAGGTGCGGATATAACTTGGCCTGTCCTCTGTCAACCCCCAGGAATCTTGCCCAGTTTCACTCACTTCCCTCTTTCTTGCCCATCACTCACAAAATGCAACATTCACACTTTTAAAATTCTGACAAAGATGAAGGCATCCTGGATATTCTCACCCTTACTGCTGCAGGCACCAAAATGAATACTCTGCCATTCCGCACCCCCTACCCATTCTCAGCTGCCAAAGTCCTCTCCTATGGGACTTGCAACAAGCCAAAGGGTATCAGACATTAGAAAACCTG